GCACCCACCAACCTGAACGTCGCAAGCGTGGGTGTCTTCTCCAAACCACCTCCTGACCCTCTGCCAGCAGCCACCGCAGCCCAGCAGCCACCGCAGCCCAGCAGCCTGCAGATTTAGCTGCTGCCTGAGCTCGCTGAAGGCACCCACGCGCTCCCTTCCCCCGGGGACCAGGCACCCAGCAAAGCTCCCGCGGGCCAGGGGAGCCGGGCACGGCGCTGGAGGGAGCGAAGCAGAGCAGCCTCAAAACAAGCAGGTTAAAGACAGAAACCACCTCCCAACTTGCGAGTCTCACGGGAATAAGTCAGAGCCGGACGGACGCAGCCCAGGAGGAAGCCCCCACCACGACGGGGATGCTGCGTTTCGGCAGCCGCCACCGTGGCTGCTCACTTCTTCTCAAGGAAGGGGTTGAAAAGTCCCCAGTCAAACGCGAGCATGGCCTGGGGATTGGGCCGCTCCTTGGGCTTCTTGAAGTTATCCTTCTCGGTGCGGAGGGTCCTCAGCACCTCCACTGGGTCCGTCTTGCCCGTGAACTTCTGCAAGGGCTCCTCCCTGCAAGGAGACCAGCTCTGCTGTGACCGTGGGAGACAGGATGGAGACCCACCTCCCCCGCTGGGACCCCAGCGCACGCCGGGACAGACAACGGGGGGAGTCACAGCCTCGTGCCAGGTGGCTGCTGGGGCGCACGGGGCTTGTCTGCGGGTACCCCGTGCTGGACAGTGCAGGACCCCGCATCCAGGCACCCTCCCCTCCCTCGGGACTTGGATTTCCCACCAGCTAGTGAAGCCACGGGAGAAAGGATGACACTAGAGGGAAAAGGGGAGCAGTCTGGAGGCAGGACCAGCCAGCCGGGGCCTGCCCGCCCCCGGCTCGGTCCAGGGTTGACCCACGGCGGGGCCCTTCGCACCCCCAAGGCACCGGCGCTGCTTACATGACCCGCAGGAAGGGGTTGTAGAGGAACTCCTCCTGCAGCGTGGAGGGCACCGTGGGCAAGTCCTCGTCATCCCGCTGCTGCCGAGGAACCAGAAATATGCAAAAGCCCGCTGGCATCCAACACCCCCCTCTGCCCCCACCCTGGCAGGGGCACAGCCACTTACTTTGGCCCACGCGAGTTTCTTCTTCACCATTTCATTCTCCGGTTCCACTTTCAAGGCGAACTTGAGGTTTCGGACGGTGCATTCATGGCCGCAAAACACCTTCTGCAACGCCAGCGGGAAGCACCCGGCGTCACACGTGCGCCCGGTGCTGGGTCCAACCCATCCTGGTCCCACTGCAGCCCCAGCCCCGGGGACGGGCGCTGCCTCCTGAGCGGTGCCAGCCTCAGGCCCCCTCCTGATTTTGGGGTCCCTCCCCAGGCTGGGGTTGAGATGCAGGGCACTCACCGTCTCCTTCGGCAAAGCCCCCAGGATTTGGGTGAGGTTGGCGTACATCTGCTCCGCCGTCCCCTCGAAGAACTTCCCGCAGCCTCCCACAAACAGGGTGTCACCTGCAGGGAAAGGGGTCTGGGCACGGAGGGGACCCTGGCCCCGCTCCCAGGGCCGGGGTGCCGGGTGGGAGCCTCCACACGCTGGATTCGCCCCATGAGCGCCGAGCGTGGGGAGGAAAGGCAGCACGCAGGCAGCATGCCCCGTGTCCCCGGTACCCACAGTGTGCACGTTAGCAGGGTGGGATACCTGAGAAGAGAGCCGGAGCGTCCGGGGAGCCGTCCTCCCACATGAAGTAGCACATGTGGCCCGAGGTGTGGCAGGGGGTGAAGAGGCACCTCACCCGGATGGCCCCAAACTGCGGGGAGAGAGGGTCAGGACCCCAGTGGGGTCGCCCTGGCCCTGATGGGCAGCCAGCCCCCCCGCGGACCTCCCCAAGCCCCATGGCATCGCCTGCCTGGGGCTCAGCAGGTCACAGACGTGCCGGGGGACGGTGGTTTGGGCGAGTCCCGGGTTGCACGTGTCTGCTCCAACAGTGTTTAGCAGCGAGGCCCCAGGAGAGGGTTGGGTGTCCCAACACAATCCCAAACAGGCTGGGATTAGGATGAGGTTTCTCCTCTAGCCCAGTGCTCCATCCCAGCCCTGAATCCAGGGTGCCACATCTGCAACCGTCCCAGGGCACGGAGAGCCAGAGCACGGCCCTGGCCAGGCACCAACCCCGTTAGCTCCCGGCGCGGTGCCACACCGCTGGGGACTGCGCCATCGCCCAGCTCCGCTCCCCGCCAGCCCGGCCCCCTGCCAGCCACGGCCGCCCCTCGGGGCAGGATCCATGCACGGGGGGGCCGAGCCCCGGGGCGCTCCCGCAGTCCTACAGCCACGCACCGTCAGCTCCTGGTCGTGGGTCACCTTGTGCGTCAGGGCCCCAATCCGCTCATCCGCACCGTACACCTGCAGGCCGGGGCAGAGCCTCGCCAGCTCCTCATTGCCCCTCGCGTGGTCCCTGCGCCGGCACAGGAGGGAATGGGCACCCAGCCCCACACCGGGCACGGCCTCCCCCGGCCCCCGGCTCGTGCTGGCGGCACTTACCAGTGGTGGTGGGTGGTGAGGACCTCTCTGAGCACCACGTCCTCCTTCCTGACGATTTCCAGCAACTGAAACGGACCCGGAGCAGAAGGAAGTGAGCGCGCAGAGAGGAGGTGACACACGCACCATGGCTGCTACAGCCGCTGTGCCCGTCCCAGCGCGGGATCTGTCCCGTACGGCACTGCTCTGCAGGCCAGGGCAGAGAAAAGCACTCAAAAACACCTGCTGAGCAGTGAAGGGCTGAGGGAGGGACGAAGGCTCGGTTCCCCGTGCCCGACCCCGTCGTGCAGAGCGGAGCAGGCGGACGGGAGCACTCTGCTGCCACAGGGACGGCGGCATTTTATGGCCGGTGCTTTCGCAGCGTAAGCACGGAGGTGCGGCACGGGCCGTACACGGGGTCGCCGCCGCCGCAGGGAGATGGCAGCCATGCAACCCCTCCTGGCTACGGCGAGGGGCCGTGTGGGGCTGCCAACCCCGTGGCTCAGCTGCCAGGAGGCTTTTAATGCCAACTTAGAATTCATCGCTACTAACAAACCCTCTGGCTGCTCCTGATTACCTTCCTCAAAGAGGAAGGAAACATCTGAGTCAGCAACAAACGCTTAAAAACCGCGACAGCGTTTGCACGATGTGCGGCAGCTGAGGGTGGCACAAGGGGGTCACCAGGCAGGGGGGCCACGGGGGTCACGGCAGCGAGGGGCGACCCCGCCCCTGTCCTCCCCTGCCTGCCTCCAGCAGCACGGCCACAAGCTGGCTCCCGGAAAACGGGACTTCACACGGGAGACACGCTCCAAAGCTCTATTTTGGGTTATTCTCACTTGCTTTGGGGTCTGCAAGGCTGCCGGCTCTGGCACGGGGAGGGCTGGGAGGTAACGGTTAAGGCGATGTGGAAATCCCCCCCCAGCCCAGGGGGGGTGGGAGCAGGGTCTTGCACACGCACACACGCTCCGTAGGCGCTGAACAGGGGTCGACCCCGCCAGTGGGATGCTCCACGCGCACACGGATGCACCCCGCTGCACGCGAAAACCCCCACGTGCCAACCCCACG